AGGCGCCGCGCTGTCCAGCTTGGGGGCCGCGGCGTCGCTGGGCGCGACCTCCCCGCGCGGGTCGGCAATTCGAATTGCGCGCAGGTCGCCGCCAGTGGGCGCCGCGCCAGGAGCGACGGGGGCGCCGTGGCCCGCGGCCTGAGCCTCGTCGATAGCTTCGACGCCATTGCGAACGCAGCGCCAGCTCCTAGACGGCGGCGCCGCGGCCGCGCCAACGGCTTCGCTTGTGGCCTCGCCGACGATGTCGCTGACGGCGTCGACCGTGGGGTGGCCGCTTGCAGGGGACGAAGGCCACCCGGAGCTCCTCGGCAGAGTGAGGGGCCGGCGCCGAGGGCCGCAGCCCCAGCGGCCGCGGCGGCGACGGAGCCCCGCGCGACCCAATCGGGGCGGGGCCACGCCGCCGCGCTGGCGGGGGAGCGGGCCGCCACGCGGACCAGTGGCGCGAGCGGAGCAGCCGCCCTGGGGCGCCGAGTTCCCGGGGTATACGTCGGGCTCGGCTCGAGGAGGTGCGCGTCGCGCGGGGCCCCGTGGTCGCGAAGCCCGGGGCCGAATGCGGGGGCCGGGGGGTCTTCCGCGGACCTGGCGTGCGAGGGGCAGCCAGATGGCGGCCGCGCCCCGCTTGGGCGCGCCAGAGACGTGGATGGCTCCGAGGCCGTGCGCGCCGACAGCTTCGCCGAAAGCTTTGCCAGTGGCCTCGCCGACGGCGGGCGGCCTGGAGCTCCGCCGACGGCCCCGCCGGCAGCCTCGCCGACAGCTTCGCCGACAGACTCGCCGACGGCCGGCGGCCCGCTGTCCGCGGAAGAGGGCGTCTATCTACGTGGAGATCAGTGCCGTGACCGAGAGGCGTGGCGAGCCTGGCGCTCCGTGGTCTCTTCGGTTGCGGCCGTCGGCGGCGGCTGGGTTTCGCCCTCGCGGCCCCGCGAGTCGCGGCGCCTTGGCGCCTGGCGCAGGGCAGCCTGGCTCGGCTGAGGCCTCGGCGGGGGGCCCCCGCGTGCTGGCGGGCGGCCGCCGACTGCCGCCGGGTCAGCGGGGGGCGACCCCCTGGCCGCTGCTCCGGGGGCGCGGCGATCCGGCGCGGATAGCGAGCCCAGCAGAGGTCCGTGGTCTCACCCCCGCGGCTCCGCTTGGCCGCGCGGTCGGCCTTGTGCGCGGCGGGTCGAACTTCTCCGCGCCTGGCTGGGGGGGCCTCCCCCCGATCCCGCGTTTCCTCCCTGGGGGCCCTGCGGCCGCCGCGGCGGGCGAGACCCCTCGGGGTGAGGCCCATGCGCTGCCCCCCCCTTCATCGGCCGATCGCCGTGACACGCGTCCTCGGCGGCGCCCTGGCGTGCCTCCGGGGTCGTCGGGAACTCCCGCCCTCCAGCGGGCGCCTCCGCGGCGGCTGCCCCCCGTCTGTCCGTGGGCCGCCGCCCCCCCGCTGCGAGCGGGGGTTGGCCGGGGCGGGGCGGGCGCCCCAATCGCCTTATTGTGGATGGGCGGGGCTTCCAGACAGCGCTCTCGCGGCGCTGCGGCTGCGCTCTGGCGCGCCTCCGGGGTCGCCCCGCGGCGGCGGCCGTTGTCCTTCCGCCGCGGGCGGGGGCGGTGGTCCGAGGGGGGGGCGCCCCAACCGCAGAGGGCCTTATGAGTGATGGGTGGGGTTTCTAGACCGCGCCCTCTCCGCCCTCGCGCGCGCGGGCGGCGCGGCGCGGGCGGGGGCGGCGGCGCCCGGCGAGGCGGCGAAGTGCAGCGAGGTGAAGTCGGGCGGGTTTCCCGCGCTAGCAGTGTCCCGGCTCTTCGCCCCCAGCGCCTCTCCTCTTCATGGTGCTTCGCCCCCGTCGCTAAAGAGGGGGCGTCGAGTTCCCGGGAGTTGCAGGGGCCATGCGCAGCGCGCGGGGCTCCCAGCGCCGCCGCCGCCACCCGTGAAAGAGGCGTCGCCGTCATTCTTTGTCTTTTGTACACGGCCACCGCACCGCTGGCAGGGCTCTGTGAGGATGCGCCCCCGTGTGCCTAGGCGTATGTGCAGCTTCTCGTTCTGCCCGACGTCTGCTGCAATTTGGGCGCAGACGCTCGGCCGATGTGAACAACCCACTCACCACCGTGGGGCATCAAGCTTACGGGAGTTGCAGGGGCCCTGTGCAGCACACAGAGCTCCCGGTACCGCCGCCAGTACTGAGGCATCACCGTCAATCCCTGTCCCTCTTTTAAACCGCCATAGTGTGCGAGGAAACGCCTTGATGTTCTGAGTCCGTGAGACTATTGTGACGTAGATTCTGACGAGGTATACTTACTTGTCTTGGGACCGTTGATTTCGTGATGTCCCCTCGACGGGTTCTCTTCATTCGAAAAGGCGTTGTGCGTGTACGTTGGAAAGAAATCGGGGGGATCGAGCCGCTCCCCCCATTCTTTTTCCAGGAGGAGTCGGGGGGGTCAGGGGCGGGGGTGTCAGGTGCGGGTCGGGCCCTCCCAACGCTCCCCCCGGCGTTGGCACGCGACGACGACGCGGATCGCGACGAGGATGGCGACGCACGGTGCTGACAAACGGTGACGACGAGCCCGCCGACGACGAAGACGTGTCCCGCCCGCCCAGCCGACCGACGGATTCGCCCACGGCGACGACACCGATGCCGGCGGCGGTGGGGGCGACGGCAGGCAATGGCGATGGCGATAGCGACGGCGCCCAGCGCCAGCAAACGACGACGACGTTGACGACGCCCGCGCGTACGTTCGACCGGCTTGCCCACGACGTGTCCCGCCCGCCCACCCAACCAATTGATTCGCCAGCAAACGACGACGGCGACGGCGATGGCGACGACGCCCGTAGCAACGAATGGCGACGGCGGCGGCGGATGCGACGGCGACTGCGACGTCTAACTACGACGACGGCGGCGGTGGCGGCGGCAAAGACGGCGGAGGCGGCGGCGGTGACGACGACGACGAAGACGACGACGACGACGACGACGACGACGACGACGACGACTACGATTTGCACGACGTCTCGGACGACGACGACGATGAGACGGACGATTGGACGACTCGGACGACGTCCGCGACGACCACGACGGCGACACGACGACCACGACGACGACGACCAAGACGAGGACTTCGGACGACGCGGACGACGACCATGAAAACCACGAAGACGACGACGACCACGACGACGACGACGACGACGACGACGACGACGACGACGACGACGACGACAGCGACCACGACGACGACGACGACGACCATAATGCGTGCGGGGGGGAGGGGTCGTTTTTCCTTCCGATTTTCGGAAACGGGGGGGATGGAGGGGTCCGACTCCCCGCGACTTTCGGCGGAAAGGGGGGCGAGGGGGTGGAACGGGAGAGTTCTCGCCGAGGCGAATTTGCGTCAGTGGGTTTTCGAGTGTGGTGGGCAGGTGCCAGGATGGGCGAGGTGGAAGACGTTTTCTCCTTATGAAGAGCGGGACGCAAAACTATTTTCTCATGCTCTTCTGTGGACGCGCGGGTGTTCGCCTACCCTCCACCTCAACATCATTTGTTTTGATGTTGCGTGTGTTTGCGCAAATCTCAAGCTCATATCAGGCGTTACTTTGTGACTGACTCGGGAGTGCCCGTTTTGTTGCTCCTGCCCATCCCTCAGCCTCGTCTTCTTCCCCTTCACGGCGGCGCCGCCGCCACCTCCCACGACGAACGAACCCACTTACGCATTGTCACTCGCTCGCTCGCTCCTCCGCTCTTGTTTTGTTTCTTTCGCAGACACGCGCCAGAGGCGCTCTATCTTTCCCCTCTCGTGCCTGGCTCAGGGACTTTTTATCCGCAGGCTCGTTGTTTTGCAAACTTGATGTGTTAAGGGCTTGAGGTGTTGCTTTCCTGGTCGTGCCAAGGCTTTCCCGGGCCATGGGGACGGGACTGGTCTTCGAACATCTCAGACTCCGTACCCTCCCCTTTCTGGGTGGACACCTTGTCAGACCCTTGGAGTGCTCGCTCGTCCTCCCCTCCCCTTTATGGCGATCGCGAAGTCGGATCGGACGCACCGGCTCGCTCGCTCCTCCCCTCCCCCTTGTGCTTATGCATGTTTGCTCGCTCGCTGCCTCGCTTATGCATGCTCGCGTACGCATTCTCGCTCGTTTGCTCGCTCCCCGGACCCCCGATGCGTGTATTTTTGTTCTCTCACAACGTCGACCCTACGAGGTCTGGACTCCCTCCCCGGGACAGGCTTGTCATCCTGAGCCGTTTTCTGACGGCCCCGATGCCCGGTGAGGGCCCGGTGTTGCCCCTCCCTCCATCGTACCTCCCTATCAAGTCATGGAAGGTCGAGAAGATAGCGTGAAGAAATAGCACAGGCGGCGCATGCGAGAGGTCAAGACGAATAGTGGATGTGACGCTGGATGCAAACAGGTAGGCAAGAGTCTGTAGATATTAAATATGTTTACTGGTTTCGGCAGTCCACAGTGGGACTCGTCCTGGGGATGTGTCTCCTACCGACGTGCCAAAATGGCCGCGAACATAAACACCAATATCACAGAGGTGGGTGGGGCAATGCAAAGGGGCTGGCACATACGTAGTGGCCGGCCTAAGTATTGGCGGTTCTGAGGGCTGGTACATGCGTGATGAATGCCCTAGGGTATCTGGCTGTGTACTTCTCCTCCTCCTAATCTCCCGCCACCTCTTACGCACCCATCCCCCATATGGCCGGCGCTGCCAGGCCTGGGTAAGAGGTGGCTTAGTACAAGGACAGGTTGGCAGTGTACCAGAAACGCGAGGCTAAAGGCGACGAGTGCAAGCTTGGCGGCAATTCTTGCGCAGCTACCCAGGGTTTTTGGGGTTTTTGTTCCCCTAACCACCTGGACCTGGGGCCGCGTGCTTTTTGTCCTCCTCCTCCTCCCCCTCCTCTCCCTCTTCCCTCCTTCCCTCTCTCCCTCCCTCCCGCTCCTCATCCCTCCCGCTCCTCCTCCCTCCCCCTCCCCCTCCTCCTCCTCCCTCCTCCTCCCTCCTCCTCCTCCTCCTCCTCCTCCCTCCTCCTCCTCCTCCTTCTGGGAGGACGCCCTTGACCTGTCGATGCAGACCCTGGAGGCGGACGCGGACCGGCGCAGGCGCCCCTCGAGCGAGGGCCTCGGCACCTCGCGGCGGCGCAGGACCGCGGCCGCCCGCCCTCTACGCGCGCGGAGGGGGGCCCCCCCCGCGGGGTGCAGTCGGCTCGAGCTCGGGGTGCGGTGGGCTCGCGTCGTGTCGGCTGGCGGCGACCCCGCCGCTGGCGTCCAGTCAGGAGCCTCCCCGCTGGGGACACGGAATTTCGGGGGTGGACAGAACCCCCAACAGTGACACGTCGATTAGTGAATTGTCCTCCTTCGGTTCTCGAGAGGGCGCCGCGGCCGTCATTTTCCAGGCTCGCGCCCGCCAGGTTTGGGCCTCGGGTCGTTTTCACTAAACCACGTTTTACTAAAGGGAGGTCTGTCCGTCCCCGAAGAATGTTGAGCGACCGGACGAGTCGGAAACACGGCCGATCGTTCGAGGTGGAACGATCCCCGCGGTGTCAGGAACCAGCGCTGAAGTCGGCACGACACGAACCTGCCGCAGCCCGCCCTCCGGGATCCGCGGAGGGGTGGGGGGGGGGAAGGGCCGACCCCGTCGCGCTGCAGAACAAAATCACGTCGGCAGGTTTTCGAGCCCTGCTTAGCTTCCGGTCCCCGAGGGCCCTCACCGAGGCCTCGGGTAGGGGGCCACGTGCGAACCCTACCCGGGTCCACGAGACGACCGAGGATGAGAGGAGTGGGCTCCCACCGGGCGCCGTCGGCTCGAGCTCGGGGGCCCGCCCGCCGAGGATTCGAGGGAGGGAGGACCCCGTGAGCATCTCTCTGCTTCCTCCCCAGGGTGGCGCTCGCTGCCCGGGTCAACTCTCGGAGGCGGCCAAGAGTCTGGACGCCCGAGATGGGTATACGGAAAGAGTGGGTGCGATGCCCAGCAGCAGTTCCTGTTCACTCTGAGCAGGGCCCGCTGTCCGCGCCGCCGCGGCCCGTGTCCACTCGAGGGAGAAGGCCGCCCGCTCAACAGCGGCCGCTGTTGGTTTGGGACAGCATTTGTTGTTGGGCATTGTGCCCATTTTTTCCGTACCCACTTCGGGTGTCCAAAGAGAGGGGGATGGTGATAGAGGGGGGGGGATATCCTGGCCATGGTCCTGGTGTCTCCAGGGAACTCATGGCCCCGAGCTACATTCTGAAAGCCGTCCGCCCTCCCTTCGTGAAGCTGTCTGAATCAAGGGTATAAAAAACGCCCCTACCCTGGTTTACGCTGCGCTGTGCGCTGAAACTCCTGTGGGCTGACAGGGTAAACCCTGCGTGATGTGCCGCGTCCTGGCGGCTCTAGGCTTCGGGGATTCCCAGGAGGTTCGCAGACCACGCACTTGTAACCCATGGGGGGGGGTCTTTTTTTAAGCCCTCAACTCAAGACGAACGTGCGTGGCACTCGGGCGAGATGCACACTGTGGCAGCGCCCCGCCCCCCTCTCCGTGGAACGGTGGCAAACTTTTGAGACGAGTGTGCGCGGCGCTGAGTCGAGAGCAGCATTTCGAGAACCGTCCGCCCTCCATCCGTGAAGCTGTTGCAGGCTTTTACGACGACTGTGCGCTCGCGCGAGAGCCACACTGTGACAACCGTCCCGTCCGCCATCCGTGAAGCTGTTGCAGATTCCACGCTTGAGGATCACAAGTCGCGAGGAAGGTCCAGGGGAAACGCCTGTCCCGCCCTACCGATGCGCCTCGGGGTGCGAAAGGGAGGAGTTATTTAATCGCTTCGCTCATTCCGCCGGCCCGTATTGGTGCACGGCTGTCGAGTGCCAGTGTGATCGTTGTCAATGGGGTGCTGCTGGGTCGTTTTTTTGTTTATGGATGGCTGGCTTTGGGTGATTTCGCCGGCGGGAACCATTCTTTGCCCGCCTGAACTTTCTGTTTCGGAAGGTGGCGGCTCGTGAATACGATCGCAGGGAACAAGACAACATTCTGCAGTTTCCTTTTTGCATTCTTCGGGCTCCTTGTCGCTTGTTTGGCCTCTTAGGAGCCTCTTGGGGCGTCCAGGAGGCCTCTTGGAGCGGAAGGCTCGGATTTTCGGTTCGTGGTCTCCATCTTGGGCCTCTCTTGGGGCCCTCTTGGGGTCCTTTTGGACCGTCTTGGGCGCCTCTTGGGATGTCTTGGGGCTCTCATGGACGGTCGTGGGCCTCTTGGAGGCCTTTTGGGCCGTCTTGGGGTGGTCTTGGAAGCTTCTTGGGCCGTCTTGGAGCGTCGGAAAGGCGAAAAGGCGAGGAAGCCAAAAACCTTGAAAGACCCAATGGAAATGAATGGTTTTGGCGCTATGAGGCTTCGTGGACGTTCATTGGGATCTCGTTGGATGTCTCTCGAGGGCTTCTTGGAGACTCTCGGGAGTCGTTGTCGAGCCTCTTGGGGTCTCTTTCGGGCCCCTTGTCGCCTTTTGGGGCCTCTTGGGGGCCTCTTGGAGCCTCCAGGAGGCCTCTTGGAGCGGAAGGCTCGGATTCTCGGTTCGTGGTCTCCATGTTGGGCCCCTCTTGGGGCCCTCTTGGGGTCCTTTTGGACCGTCTTGGGCGCCTCTTGGGATGTCTTGGGGCCCTCTTGGGCGGTCTTGGGGCTCTCTTGGAGGCCTCTCGGGCCGTCTTGGGGTGGTCTTGAAGGCTTCTTGGGCCGTCTTGGAGCGTCGGAAACGCGAAAAGGCGAGGAAGCCAAAATCCTTGAAAAACCCAATGGACATCAATGATTTTGGCCTCTTGGGGCTCTCTTGGAAAGGGTCGGGGCTCTCTTGGGACGTCTTGGAAGCTTCTTGGGCCGTCTTGAGGCCGTGTTTGGCGGCTTGGGCCGATCGTTCGGTGATTCGGAACCCTCTTGGACCGTCTTGGAAGCCTGTTGGGGCCCTCTTGGCGCGCTCCGGGGAGCGTGGAAGACCGCACCCAGGAGGACAACCATCTCTGACCCGAGTTTGCTGGGAGTGTCCCGGGACCTTTCCGGGGTACTTTCCGGCCGGGGACCCCCAGGGGCCGCTCCGCGCGCGCGAAGTATAAAGTTATTGTTAACCAGTTACCGAAGATCTTAGCACGCCTCTGCCCCTTTGGGCCGGCGAACTTATATGGAATAGGGATGGAGGAGGAGGAGGAGGAGGAGGAGGAGGAGGAGGAGGAGGAGGAGGAGCAGGAAGAGCTGGTGGTGAGGGGGTGCGAGAAGAGGAAGTGGAATGGCGATGACGGGGACGGACAGGAGGGGTAGGAGGAAGACGACGAAGATGAGGTTGAGGAGGGGAGTGGGAAGGGAGGCCATGAGGCGGACAGGAAGAGGACGTTTCGACGGAATTCTAGACACTTCGCGAAACCCCACCTGCTGATCCAGATACGGTGCCCAGGCGAGTTGCCCTGATCAGGAATGTGGAGAAGCATGCAGTGGAGCAGGCTGGGGAAGCCGCCATCGCCAAAGAAAGGGAGGATGGAGGAGTAATCGGAGGAGGAGGGGAAGGGGGAGGAGGAGGAGGGAGGATGAGGGAGGAGGAGGAGGAGGAGGAGGAGGAGGAGGAGGAGGAGGAGGAGGGAGGAGGAGGAGGAGGAGGAGGAGGAGGAGGAGGAGGAGGAGGAGCAGGAGGAGAGGAGGAGGAGGAGGAGGAGGAGGAGGAGGAGGAGGAGGAGGAGGAGGAGGAAGCGGAGGCGGAGGCAGAGGAGGCGGAGGCGGAGGGGAGGAGGAGGAGGAGGAGGAGGAGGAGGAGGAGGAGGAGGAGGAGGAGGAGGAGGAGGAGGAGGAGGAGGAGGCGGAGGAGTGGAGGAGGAGGGAGGAGGAGGAGGAGGAGGGAGGAGGAGGAGGAGGAGGAGGAGGAGGAGGAGGAGGAGGAGGAGGAGAGGAGGAGGAGGAGCAGGGGAGGAGGAGGAGAGGAGGAGGAGGAGGAGGAGGAGGAGGAGGAGGAGGAGGAGGAGGAGGAGGAGGAGGAGGAGGCGGAGGCGGAGGAGGAGGAGGAGGAGGAGGAGGAGGAGGAGGGCGAGCAGAATGGCCAGAAGCCTTGTGGATACCCCTCGGGATCGCGTCGGATGTTTCTCGAGAGCTTGTTGGTGTTCACTTGGAGCGCCTACGTAGGGGGCCTCTTGGCGGTCCTGGGGGCCTCTTCGAGCGTCTTGGGTGCCTCGGGGGAGCCTCTTTGGGACCTCTTAGGGGGTCTCTTGGGAGTCGAGTCTCTTGGGAGTCTCTTGGGGGCCTCTTGGGGCCTCCTGGGCACCTCTTTGGGCTCTCTTGGGGCACTCTTGGGGGCCTTGAGGGCTATCTTGGGACAATCTTGGAGGAGTTCGATCTTGGAGTACCCCCCTAAGCAGGAGGCCAATGTGGGCCCCAAACCAGTGTAAGATCAATGATTTGTGACTTCTCGCCGAGGTCGCGTTGGACGCTCCAACGCTTCGCGGACCACCCCCCCCCGTCCAGGTCCAGGGGTAGGGGGTACGGGGAGGGGTATAGTACGCACCTTCCCGCAGGGGAAGAAGGGGGTTGGACAGAAGACCTCCCCTAAACCACTCAAGCCCTAAAGGGTTGGTGTGATTTCACCACCGCCGTAGCTGTATCCAACTCCGAGAGAGGAACGAGAAGCTGATGGCGAAGCTGAGGGATCTGCACGTCGGCGCCACGGGCAATGAGGATCCTCCTCCCTCCCTTCCTCCCTCCTCCCCCCTCGTCTCCTCCTCCTTCTTCCTCCCTCTTCCCGCCTCGAACATTTCCCGCTATCTCTTCTCCACAGTTGCATACAGCCTGTTCTAGTCACTCTCGTGGTTGCGGTCAGCCTGGGAATCCCCCCCCCCCCTCCTGCCCCTCCTCCTCCGCATCCTCCTCAGGGCTTCGGCGGCTCCGCGCCGCACCCCGTCCCCCGCTACGCGGGCGGAGACTAGCGAGGAGGCGGCGGCTCCGAGGCGCATCCCGCCGACGGCGGGCCGCGCCCGGAGGCCCCGCCTCGGCGCGCTCGCCGCCAGCGACGGCCTCCGCCGCGCCGCAGCGGCCGTCTCTCTTCTCGGGCGGCCGCCGCTCGGGCGGTGCCGGCGTGCGCGCTCGGCGGGCTGCGCGGGGGCGCGGGGCGGCCCGGCCCTGGGCAGCGGGACCTGCCCCGCGGGCTCGGCCCCCCGCGGCGTGGGCAGGGGCGAGGGCAGCTGTCGAGGAGCAGGAGCTTCGGAGGTCTACAGGCCTCCTGCCCTGACGCGTCGATGAGCGAGTTCGCCGTTTTCGGTTCGCGGGAGGGCGCCACGGCCGTCATTGTTGCGGGTCCAGGTCCGTCGGTTTCGGTCCCAGGCCGTTTTCACTACAAGGAGGTTTGTGAAAGGGAGGTTTGTCCACCGCCGAAGCAGGAACTGGCATGTGCATGATTTCTCGACGCCTCCCTGGCGGGCCCCCCTGGCGGCGCCTCCGGCGCGCCGGGGGGGGGGGGCGCCAGCACCGAGCCAAGAGAGGCGCGTGGGCCTCCGAGGAGTTGCGGCTGGCGTCTGGGGAAGCAGCGTGCGACGTGGCGCCCTGCCGGCCTGCTCGTGGCACGCTGTCCCTCGCCCCGGGGGCGGCTTGCACCGACGAGGCCCCTGGCGGAGGGAGATGGCGCGCACAGGAGGGGCCCTGGCGGGTGGACCGCCTCACGGGCACAGCGTGCCTCTCTCAGGGGCAGAAAAAAACGCCACTGCCCTGGTTTACGAGGCGCCGTGCCCTGAAACTCCTGTGCGCTGACAGGGTAAGCCCTGCGTGATGTGCCGTGTCCTGGCGGCTCTAGGCTCTGGGGGTTCCCAGCCAGGAGGTTGACAGACCACCCACTCGTAACCCAGGGTAGGGCCGTTTTTTCATCCCTCGACTCTCGGAGGCCGGTGTCGCACGCTACCTTTCCAGCGCCAGCAGTGTGCCCTGTGCCGCTCTTTTCTTCCTCCACGCCTGGCCCCCCCCAGCAGCGAGTCTCACCCGGCGGGCTCGGCCTTCAGAGCGTGGGGGGCAGCCTGGCCCTCGGCGACGGTGAGCCTAGGGGCCCCCGTGCTCGACCGCAGCGGCGCACCGCAGTTCTCACCCGAATTTCTGGAAGCGCCCGGGGTTGGAGGGGCCTGGCCCTCGTGCTCCTTCTCCGGGTGCGCTTCCTCCCTGTCGGAGGCCTGGGGAGTTTGGCACCCCTGCACCAATGATTGTCGGCGGTTGCGTCCGCCGAGGGGAAGGGATCCCGATCTCGGTGATGGCGGTGTCAGTCGGGCTTCCCGATCAGGAGGCCGGAAGATAACCGCCAGCACCGACATCCAGGATCATCATCTCCCCGGGGAGGCAGCACCCTGTGCTGGTGTTGGCGTTGGTGCCCGTCTCCAGGCCTCCAGCCTTGTTCTCAGCGGCAGCGTTAGGGGGGGATGGGCTCAGGGGGGGACGCATCGACCGCGGATCGCCCATCCCTCGCCGAAGGGTGCCCGGTAGGCCGCCCCGCCCAGGTGTATTTTTTCGTTCTTCGCTGTCGGGTGCCCATCGACGATGCATCGGCCGTGTATCGCAAATTCCAGCTCGACGGCCTCCCACCCCTCAGCTGGTTCCCCCCTAGCGTTTCCCCTTGTGCTCTGAGGTCGGCAGGTTCTTCAGCCAGTATCTGCGGTAGGCAGGCCTCTCAGACCCGCAGTGGGCCAATATCCGCTGGCCCCCTCATTCGCGTCGTGCCTGCGTGTGTGTGTGTGTGTGTGTGTGTGTGTGTGTGTGTGTTTGTGTAGCTACTCAGGGAGTAGGTTTCAGAAGCTAGTTGGAAGAGAACGAAGGTTGTCGATCTTGGCCGAAGGAAGCCAGATAGCTTGCCCCGAGTCGCTCGCGCACCCCCTGTCCACCCAGCCCGCCCCGTCCGAAGCATTGAAATTCGCATTTCCTTGGGGAGGTCTCGGAGCGCGCAACGGCCGCATACCTCTGGTAACTTGCGGGTCGAGGGGTTCTCTAAGAGCAGAGGACGTGGGAAGTGGGTCTCACGCTCTTGAAGAACGACGCTGAAACTATTGGGCTCTCTCGGGAGAGGGCTTGGGGGGGTCGCCTGAGTGATCCTTCAGACACTTATTGGGACTGTTGGTCGTCTTGGAAGGTGTTCGAACCATCTGCGGATTTACAGGCCGCCTTGGGCAGTTTTGGGCTGCCTTCGAGATGCCTTTGGTCTGGTCTTTTGGTCACCTGGAGGCCATCGTGATTGATGTGTTGGGGCCGTCTCGGGGAGGGCCGTGCGCACGTCTTGGGGAACTTCTCCAGGGTCTTCGGTCATCTCCCAGTTCCCCTCGCGTTGTGAAAACAATCACGACGGGAGGTTTTTCGTTATTTTCAGCTTCTGGGGGCCCTTACCAGGCCACTGGACAATCGAAACACGACTCAGTATTTAAACCTGGTCCCGAGGAAGGGGTCCAGACCTCTGGGGGTCGACGTTGTGAAACAATCACGACGTCGGGGTCTGGGTTTGTAGCTTCCTTGGGTTGCCCTGGAGGCGTAATGCTGCCTTTGGGTGGCCCCGCACCGTCTTGGGCCCGTCTTGAGCTTCTCCGAGGCGCGTCTCTGGGATGAGGGGTGGAAAGGAAGCGCTGGTAGGTGGAAGCCAGCGTGGACCCCAAACAGGAGATTCTTGCACTGGACGTGCGTTCTGTGTGGCGCAATATTTGCAGTGCAAGCTGTGTGGAGCAAGCAATGTGGTGCAGTCTGTGGGGGGTGCAACTTATCGGGTGCAGTACATAATGAATACCTTAAAGTCGTGAGCTCCGATGCTCGTCCTCAAGTCTAATGCTTGAGCAAATATCCCATCCATCCGCCCACAGCGTGATGGCACCATTCAACTTTCGTAATGACGCGAGGAGCCCTCTCATGCAGGTCTGTGTCTCAGGCGAGTGCTGCTGAGGCTGCTAATCATGGTGATGCTGCTGAAATGACGCGCGGAGCCCTCTCATGCAGGTCTGTGTCTCGGGCGAGTGCTGCTGAGGCTGCTGATCATGGTGATGCTGCTGAAATGACGCGAGGAGCCCTCTCATGCAGGTCTGTGTCACGGGCGAGTGCTGCTGATCATGGTGCTGCTGCTGCTGCTGCTGCTCGGGAATATGGTTACTTTTGCTGAAGGCGCTAAGGTGTCAGTAGTTTGTTGCATTTGTTGGATCTTCACTAGTTGTTGCATCATTCCGAGATGCGCGTGTTGAGTCGCGCACATATGGCCCGCACGGTACTCATGCGCCTCGCATGGTATTGTTTGATTGGGATGAGGAGGGGATGCGATACCAGCCTTCTGGCATCAAAAGAACGACCGTGCGGACTATTGACGAAACGTGATTGGCCCACGGACTCGGAAACGGATTTAGAGCAGCGATGCAGGGGAACGTTTCCGAGCACCTCAATTGGGCGATGACCAGTGGCAATGTTGAAGGTATCAGCGTTGACGGTACTCTGCCAAGGGCTGTGTCGTGCTGCTCTGCGTTGTGCCGCGCCGCGTAGTGACGTGCGGGGGACACGGCACGGAACGTGCCACTGGAAGTGCTAGGGGACGCGCCAGGGGACATGCCGCGTCGAATTGTGCCGTGCGCTACTGCATTGTGGATCAAGCCGTCTTTGGCGTCAGAATCTTGACCGATCTGATTTGGTTGTCAGCTCGAGCTATCCGAGCGCATAGTTCGGGTCAGTTGCCATCGAAACGCGCGGGGCGCTCGACCAGCTCGAGCTCAAGATCCGATTGAGTTCGGCAGCCCTCGGCTGTGACACCATGCCAATCGTTATATCAGCGCGTTTGCCCCTCAGTCCCGCAGTCGGAAGGATCTAGTGGGATGCGACCATGCGCGAATTGGCATGGTATGCTTTGCACACGATGCCGATCGCGACTCGTGGAGGCGAGGTGATAAATCTGTCCTTGTCAATCTGTAGGGCAGGAGCTCGATATTGTCGTTAGCCAGCGTGGACCCCCACACAGTTAGACAATGCAGTTTGGAGGTGATAGCTATGCGGAGCAAGCTATGCAGTGATATCACTGCTGTGGTGAAAGTTGTGCGGTGCGAGATCGGTTGTGTAAGCTAGCTTGTGTGAGCTATGTGTTGTGAGCTATGTTGTGTGAGCAGTGTTCTATGAGCCATTTGGCGTAAGCTTTGTGGTGCGAGCTATGCTGTATCAGCCATGATGTCCATCCAGGGCACGCGGCGTTTTGCCTCTGGGGCCCTTGCCCCCCCCCACGCCTGGGGCCCGTTGGAGCCCCCAGGCCGCCTTGCAGTGCCCCGCAGCTGTGCGGGGGCGTGGGGCAGGCCTGCCTCCCGGGTTCGAAGCCGTGGGTCTGAGCTCCCTTCCTCTGCCTGGGACCCCAGGGCTCCTCGATGGCAGGAGGCGGACACCCTGCGAGCTGGTGCCGAAGCAATCGTCGAGGCAGATGGACGGATGCCGAGGCAGGTGCGGGGGTAGGTGCTGAGGTGGGTGCTGAGATAGATGCCGAGGCACAGCAAGGCTGGGCAACTTTCCCAAGGGTGCTCTTGCATCCCTGCCTCCTCGGAGCATCCTTGGCCGCTTTCGCTGGCCGCCGCGTCTCGCTCGCAAAGTGTCGACGTGGCCTTCCAAGGCCTTTGTACCCTTTTCGTGCGTCCTTATTACACGGGTTGACGACTGGTGCCGAGGTAGATGTTGGGGTCAGGTGCCGCGATCAACGCCGAGATAGACGGTGCGTCCGCGCTGTGCGCTCAGCCTTGCAGTGACGGCTGCTACTCTCGTGCCGTGGGCTTTGCAGTCTTTTTTCGGTGCCTGCCTTCGGGTGCAATCTCCCATCTCTCCTTCGAGGGTGGGGGCGAATGGGGAAGGGGAGATGGCCCGATCCCTGGTCGCAGCGGGGCTTTCCCAAATCGTGGCGGGCGCATCACACCCCAGTGACCCCTCGAGGGGTCGGCGGGTCTCCTTGCCTGTGGCGGTG